GGCCTAACAGCTGAAGTTTTTTATTTATTACTTAAAAACTTCAGAAGGAGCCTGAAGTTTTCCTCCTACACTGGTTAAATTAAAAATTGATATTGCACTAAAAAAACTTCGGCCAAGCAGCTGAAGTTTTTTTGTTATTACTCAAAAACTTCAGCAGGAGGCTGAAGTTTTCCACATACACTGGCTAAATTAAAAAAATGATATTGCACTAAAAAAACTTCGGCCAAGCAGCTGAAGTTTTTTTGTTATTACTCAAAAACTTCAGCAGGAGGCTGAAGTTTTCCACATACACTGGCTAAATTAAAAAAATCATATTGCACTAAAAAAACTTCGGCCTAACAGCTGAAGTTTTTTATTTATTACTTAAAAACTTCAGAAGGAGCCTGAAGTTTTCCTCCTACACTGGTTAAATTAAAAATTGATATTGCACTAAAAAAACTTCGGCCAAGCAGCTGAAGTTTTTTTGTTATTACTCAAAAACTTCAGATGGAGGCTGAAGTTTTCCACATACACTGGCTAAATTAAAAAAATCATATTGCACTAAAAAAAACTTCGGCCTTACAGCTGAAGTTTTTTATTTATTACTTCAGAAGGAGCCTGAAGTTTTCCTCCTACGCTGGTTAAATTAAAAATTGATATTGCACTAAAAAAACTTCGGCCAAGCAGCTGAAGTTTTTTTGTTATTACGCAAAAACTTCAGCAGGAGGCTGAAGTTTTCCACATACACTGGCTAAATTAAAAAAATCATATTGCACTAAAAAAACTTCGGCCTAACAGCTGAAGTTTTTTATTTATTACTTAAAAACTTCAGAAGGAGCCTGAAGTTTTCCTCCTACACTGGTCAAATTAAAAATTGATATTGCACTAAAAAAACTTCGGCCAAGCAGCTGAAGTTTTTTTGTTATTACTCAAAAACTTCAGCAGGAGGCTGAAGTTTTACACATACACTGGCTAAATTAAAAAATCATATTGCACTAAAAACTTTGGCAAGCACAAAACATTCAGCCAAAAAAACAAAACACAAATTCAGCTCCTATCCTAAAGTATCATTATCATCTGTTTAACTCTGAAAATTTTTAAAAATTTGAACGTCGAATCACTGAAGAATTTATAGAAATTACATTAACAACATGAACAACCTATCAAACTAAACCCTATCATAAATACATGAATATCAAAACCCAAAACCAGAAATTAAATCATAAAACAAAACCCAGAAAGTTAATGCAATGTACCTGTGATTAAATCGTAATATGGTAACAACGACGACTAGCAGTTGAAAATTCGAAAGAACGACGAAAACCGTTTGATTTCTGAGAAGAGCAAATCGAAAAACGCGAATAACGGGAGAGAGAAACAGTAGAGCACTAGCGTATACTTGGAGAGAAAGTAGTCTTTTAACAAAAAAGGGTAAAATAGTCTTTTCAAATGGCTTTTAACAAAAAAGTGGGTATGGGTGCAAACAGAAAGACAAAGCGGGTACAGGTTAAAAAGGGGCGCCCAAATAGGGGGCCCCGTGCAATTTTTACTCGTGCACTTGGCTGTCCTTTCTTGATATTAACATGAATGTTGATCTTGTTTGTCCTTCTAAGTGGCAACATTAAACAAACTCTTGCCTCTAAACCACCCCCAAATAAGGCCAGTAATTCATGAAAAAACTGAACAACCATTATCTACTGGTTTCAGCAGGCCAGCAGAGAAGATTGTCTGCTCCAGTACCTAACAAAGCAGGCAGAGAAAGAAATGTCACAAAAAAAAATGTCTTGAATTTAGGGGTCCTACCTGTCTAGTTATCTTTCTTGTATTTTCTTAGAAGGATGAGTACACTAATGGAAAAGAAGAATACAAACATTACTGAAAAAACTCTCCTCGCTTATAGTGAAAGTCGTTTTTTAACAACCATTCCAACTTTTACTTCATATGACTTCTTGTAGTTAATCTTAATACTAAAAGAACTTCGTATTAAAGTCTTAAATAGGCCTAAGCAGTGCAATTGTTAAACAAAAAAACAGATAAAAGGTTGGCTACATTAGGATTCAAACTTTGGGTGTGTTTGATATAACGGAAAATGTTTTCCGTGGAAAATATTTTCTAAGAAAATGTTTTCTTGGAAAAAAAATAGTAATCTTATTCATTTTCCGGTGTTTGGTACGCAAATTAAGGAAAATGACTTCTCAAGAGTATTCATAAATAATTTAGATATAATAAACATGAAGCCATAAACTTTCAAACCAACAACCTTCCGAACCCACATTTTTCATAAACTTTCGAACAGCTAAACTTTTGAATCGCAGAATTTCTAACGCGTAAACTTTATAATTTCTAAACCCGTAAACTTCCAAACACATAAACTTCCGAACTCGTAACTTTGGAACTTGTAAAAGTTTAAACTTTTAAACCGATAAATAAAAAACCTAAAGCTGAAAAATATATTAAAAAAATATTATTTTTTTTAGTGTGTGTGTGGGTGGGGGGGGGGGAGAGTGGTGTTGCCGCAGTTAGGGGGTGGGTGGTGCAGAAAAACGAAAAAATAAAAATTTAAAACTGCAATAAAAAAAATAAGGTAAAAAAAAATATTTTTTTGCGGGAGGGAAGGTGGGGTGAGGTGGAGGGGTAGTAGGATGGGTGCTAACGGAAAAACTGAAATTTGAAGGAGTTTTGGAAAATGTTTTTCCTTCGCTTGATAAGGAAAACATTTTCCTAAAAATGTTTTTCAAAATATTTAAGCCAACCAAACATGGAAAAATTGGAAAACATTTTCCTTCGTACCAAACACACACTTTATGAGATCAACTTTTAAGGTTCTCATATTTTATACATAAATTTATGCTCCACGTTGAAAGTATGGGGTTCGGATGAACCCGCTACCGCAACTTTTCTATCATCTATGAAGTAAGATCTTCTCTTGGTTGAATTAATGGATCATCCGACTGGAAATTATAACCAAAAAAATTGATTAACTTGTTGAAATATCTGATTCTTCGAATGATATAATGGATTAATCAACCTCAAGTAATATATACATCTTCATTAAGGAAAGTTTACAAAGACGCTTTCTGTTTACATGAATTTTATGTACAGATAAATCACCTGCCAATCTGATATTTTTCTTCTCTCATGTTTTAATTGAGAATACACCAACTGAAGAAATGTCATCATCTATTAAATCCATTAAGCAGAGGTTTGAAGCAAGGGCATGAGTTAAAGTTCCCTCCCTGTAATGGATCAAAGAGAGCAGGCATTAAGATTTGATGATCAAAAACAAAAGTACATCAAATATAACTGTATAATTGACTTCTGGGATCATCTAAATGATTGTTACTTATTTGGCTAAAATGATAGATTTGTGGAAATATATGGATCATTCTTTGGCTCTTGATTGAGTTCTATGCACAATCTGATGTTTAAACAACTTTCCAGTTGCCCATAGAGAACCAAACTTGCTATACATAGCTATCCTTCATATCCTAATATTGAAGGCAATAACATTATGTTTAATATTTTCTCTCGTATGAAGTAGCAATGTACAGACTATTTTAGACAAACAAATAACATTTGCACCAGAGGGCTTATTATTACCGCCACTAGCTTTAAGTCATGGGTTCGAGCCGTGGAATCAGCCTTGGAGCAACAGTAAAGTTGTCTCCATGTGACTTATAGATCACGGGTTCGAGTTGTGGAATCAGCATTGATGCTTGCATTAGGATAGACTGCCTATATCACACCCCCTTGGAGTGCGGTCCTTCCCCGAACCCTGTGTGAATGCGGGATGTTTTGTGCACCGGGCTGCCATTTGGTAGTTACTTATTACGTATGTCCAAGTGATGGGACTTCAGAAATTGGTCCAAGCAAAAAAACTTTCTTTTAGATTTAGTTAGAGGCCAAATTCGACAGTAAACTGCATCAGATGGAAGATCCCTAATCTAATGATGCAACAAAGCTTAGCATGACAAAATGTATGAAAATGAAAGCTCAGATGTTAGTACCTTCAAGAAAATATTAGAGCCTCTTGTGCCAATCAAACTGACTTCAGTTAGAAATGCAGCTTGTCCTAAAGTTCTTACACCAGAAAATGCCTGTTACATATTGCAAACTCAATGACAGATTCTTATGTAGCAATTAAAGAATCAAAATCCACAGAAATCTTACACAAAACTTACGTGAGTTTGAACATTCTTACAATAGTTTAAGTTGGTCATTAGTAGTAACAGGGAACTTTTCAGCTACATTCTTTAGAAGAATATTAGATAAGAAAGGAACAATGAACATTCACTTACATATTTTAGTCTTAGTAAAGGCCAAGAATCTTCCACCAACCAGCTCCTACTAATCCCCATATGACAATATTAATAAGAGCAAATATAATGCCCAATTTGAAGACATCACGTAGTTCCACATAACCAGCTGCCAAAAGAAGAGCAATTAAATGATATTAGTTCAACTTCCTCAAAATAAATGAAAAGGGATTAATTATCAAAATACAAAGAACTAGAAAGAAAATGAAATTCTGATACCACTCTTAACTGCCTTGCCCCTTTTGTTTATGTCCTAAAGTTATATGATTATGACTAGATAAAACTTTTCTAACTTTATGTCTTTCCCCTCTATAATACACAGACTTTAACAAAATTACCTCCATAGTATACTGCAGCTTGACCACTGCTGTAATGTGTCAATGCACCAAAAAGATTTGTATTGTATCCCAAAGCCAAAGCAGCAAATAGAGCAGGAACTTTTGATGCCAAACACATTCCAAGAAATGCAGAGTACAAAGCTGCAACATGAGCAGTTTGACTAGCAAACAAGTAGTGAATAAAGAAATATGCAGCTTGAAGGACACAAAATGCCCCAAACCAATGTAGTGAAAGAGATTTGAGGAAGTTAGCCACAGCATTTGACATCCAGGCAACAACTCCCAGAGTAGTTAATTGGGTTGCCATCCCTATTAATACACCAAACCAAGCTAAGGTATCCCATGCTGATTTTTCACTTAAGCAATCATCCCAATCAAGTATTCCAAATGCCAAAAGTAGTGATAAACCCAACATTGCTGTGATAACACTTGCTAGTCCAAGAGCCTCCCTGCATTAAATATAACAGTGGATGAAATGAGATGAGTCTGCCTCTAATATCATGTAAAGAAAATAGATTTTGCGCTTAACTCAACCCAAAAGTTAGCTCTTAAGAAATAGTAGACAACCAAAGAGAGCCCGTTGCACTAAGTTCCCGCTATGCACAGGGTCCAAGAAAGGGCCGGACCACAAGGGTCTATTGTACGCAATCTTACCCTGCATTTCTGGAAAATGTTGTTTCCACGGTTTGAATCCATCGCCTCCGGGTCACATTGCAATAACTTTACCATTTATGCCAAGACTCCCCTTCGAACAACAAAAAGGAAAAAAAGGGCAGCCCGTTGCACTAAACTCCCGCTATGTACGGGTCCGGTATCTATTGTACGCAATCTTACCCTACATTTCTGCAAGAGGCTATTTCCACGGGTTGAACCCGTGACCTCCTAGTCACATGGCAGTAACTTTACCAGCTACGCCAAGGCTCCCTTCGGTTACAAGAAAAAAGATTGAAGAAACAATAAATATACCCAGAAATCCATAATGCTACGGTTACAAGCATGACTATCATCATCACCCACTGATCACTTTTGATAGGACCCATCTGATCCAGCCTCCTTCTAGCCATTAATGGAGCATCTGGTGTATCCTTCATTTCTGGAGGGAATATCTTGTATAGAATAACTGGAGTAACTAGAAGAGATACAAGTGCTGGTATACATGAAACCTTGAACCAAGTGAGCCATTTACTTGATATTTTTACTCCTAACCCCTCTGCTAATTTCACACACAATAGGTTTTGTGCAGCAGCTGTTAGGAACAGTGCACTTGAGCTACTTGAAGACTGTAATTATACATCACGAAATAGTATTAAAGACAGAATATCCAACATCTGATGTATAATATTAATCAAAAATAACATACAAACATGTAATAACAGATACTTCAATAACAATAAACTACGGGCGGCAATTTGAGCCCAAACCCATTTAACCGCCCAACCCGATCAAGACTGAGTCGGCCATTGACCTGCCGTTGAACTTAGCCCAACTTCATCCTGCCCATCTCAGCCCATCTAAAGTTGGACTAATTTTTAGTCCAAATTGATTCAAGAGTACTTTTGCTAATATATCTTTAAAATAATTCTTTTTTTTTATATGTAATATAAGACCGTAACAAAAGAAAAAAAAAATCTTAAAAAAATAAGATACATTAATTAAATCTTGAGAAGAGTTGGGCGGGCTGGGCTACGACCCAAATTTTAGTCCATCTTGACCCAAGTAACTTTTGGGCGGGTCGATTGAGCAGATTATGACCCACCTAAAATCAGCTCAATCCGCTCATTTGATACCCTACAATAAACTAAGAGCATTTCCAGAAATTGAAGAATAAATGGAAACCTGCAACTGAGATTGAACAAGATAAGCACCAAGTTTCTTAGCAGAATCATCCTTTGGGTGACTATCAGCAGTGACAGCCAATGACTTAATAATGGGCAAGAAAATCCCACCTGCCCTTGCAGTTGTACTTGGAATAGCCGGAGATATTGCCGCCTCACTCAAAGCCAAACCATAAGACAAACCCAAAGTATTTTTCCCAAGCCAACTCACAAAACACAAAGCAACTCTATCACCAAGTCCAGTTTTAATAAACCCTCTTGAGAAAAAAAATGATGCAACAATTAACCAAATGACTTCATTGGTGAATGCAGCAAATGCTGCAGCGAATGTTAAGGTTTTCGTGACGACAGTAAGCGTGAGGCAAAGGAAAGCCCACGCGCCCACTGGCAATGGGCCGAGGATTAGACCAGAGATAGTTGTAAGGAAAATGGCTAAGAGTTGCCATGCTTTAGTGGAAAGTTGGTGGGGTTTTGGAATGGCGAAGCGAAAGAGTATGCCTATTGATATGGATATAGCTAGTGGTATTGGTTTTGCACCTTTCCATGGTGGAAGTGAGATGCCGCGGCGACGATGGTGGTTGGTGTTGGAGGTAGGGGAAGTATTGGAAGGGAGGGGAGAACTTGGAGTTGACATTAACTAACTGTTAGAGAGACTCAATTCAAAACTTTAAAGGTATGATCTCGAGATGAAAATAATGAACGCACTTGCTCCGGCTATGATCTTGTGATCTGCATTTGACACAAAAATAGAAGAACAGTGAAGAGTTTCGCATGTATAAAAAGGAAAAAGTTCAATTACGCATTAACGCATGTCGTGACACAAAGTTTCTTACCTTAATTTGCAAATTGTTCAACTCGTTGAGCGAGGCCTTCTGTTTCACTATTGAATCATTCACTTTCAAATTGTCTCCGACCTAGGGCTAGGAGAATACATAAAATGCAGTGTGAATCAAAGCAAAATGGTGGTTAATTTATGTATGGTTATGGCTAATATTATGGGTGGAGTGGCAAGTGGTGGGACGAAGAAATTAAGTGGAAACGGAAAAGAGGAGGGAATGGGAGGTGGGGACAATAGCTTTTTGAATTATATTGTATTTTAGTTGACTGAAAAGGACAATAAAAACTGACATATGGACATATGTGATATGTTGATATTACATACCCGTGACGGACATTTTATTCCCTACCTTTTTAGGTGTTTTGTCCTTTTTGGGTCGTTGTTTACTTGTTTTGAATTTGATCTTAAATGGACCATACTCTTAATTTAATATATAGTGGATGTTCCATTCGTAAATTAGAAAATAATGGTCACACCATAATGCATGCTCTATGTCTAAGAAAATTTAACTTTAATGCTTGGCTAGTTCCAGAAAATCGATAGTGAGTTTAATAATCGCCATAATAGGAAATAATATGAGTATTCCTCGTAGCGCATCGATTCTTGTAATTCTAATATTATAATTCACTAATTTTAAGTGATGCCTGTGTTATCAGTATCGTTTTATTGGCAGGCCAAACGAGGCTCCATATGACAAAATTAGGATCTGGTACAAAAGGTGCGTTACTCTCTAAGCAGATTTATGCGATGTCGATTCAGATTAATCAGACCAATAAAATTTACATCGACTGATTAAATAAATAAAAAAATAAAAGAAAAGAAAAATCGTTGGACAAGCTTTCGCACTAAATAATCATCGCCATTTCAAATTGCAGTCAGTAGCGTTATCTATCCTTTTTTTCCTACCTTCTTTGAACCTGCAATTGGTAATGATTTGAAATTTCTTTTCAAAGAAGCTAGGATTTTCATGTCATTTTCAATTAAAGATAAGGTCAAGCGCATTTCCACTTTGAAAACGACACTACTACTACTTTATGTCTTAAGAGCCAGTTTGGATTAGCTGATTTGAGATAGCTGATAAGCATTAGGTGCTGAAAAGCACTTTTAAGTGCTGAAACTGATTTAATAAATAAACAGTTACGTATTTGGATACAAGTGCTGAAATTGATAATAAGCTGCTGCAGTATTTGAGAAAAGATTGCTGATAAGCTCTTTTTCTGTTAAAATGACTTATATACACTTATAAGGGCATAATTTCTTCAAAATTTTAGATTCCATATCGATTCAAATACAAAATATTCTATTCTTTATTTTATTTTAAATACAAACTGTGCTTAGATAAAAAAACTTTTATGATAAATAAATTTTATTTTATGATAAACATATAATCATAAGTTATAATAATTAATAAATTGACAAAAGTTTCTAAGTAAAAAATAAATCTAAATAAATATTTGAAAAGAAACAAACACTGTCTCCTGCTAGGCAAGCAGCATTAGGTGCGGGAATACCCAAATACAGTAATTTGTACAACTGTGAACAAAGTCTGTGCATCTGGGTTGAAAGGTATGCACCTTCTGTTATATTGATTTCCTAGAGACCTCTTCCCCCTTTTACAACTGTAATGTGAGTGAAAGAGGTGGTATTTGTTTCTGACAAGATAAAATTCTTATGGCTTTGCAGCAACTATGCTATTCAATAAAATTGGGACGCTTGTTTGCTTACTTTGAGTGGACTGCTGATAACAACACTCCTTATAGATTCATAGATTAGCTTTGTTGTGTCATTACAAACTTATATGAGCTTATACACTCCTTATGAAGCTTTTTGGAGATTTTTCAGTTGTCTTATAAACATCACCTCTAACTCTAAAATTGCTTATCCAAAACTATAAGTGCTTCTGTCATATTGCTGGTTTCTTTTTGTAATTAAGTGCATTTGTTGTTATTGGTTGAATGGCAGCAATGTAATGCTGCCATTATTGGATGAGATTTGCTATTGAAAATCTCATTTTTTTATTTTTTTGCCCAGAAATTCATAATTTCCAACCGAATTCGGTCGGAAATTATGAATTTATATTTACTTTTTAAATAAATTAACAATTTACAAATAATTATTTAATTAAATAAAATTATTACTTTTTTAAATTTCCAACCAAATTTGATTGGAAAATTAAAATTAAATAATAATAATAATAATATTTTCCGACCGATTTCGATCGGAAATTTGAAAATTAAAAATAAATATTTAATAATTTCCGACCGATTTCGGTCGGAAAATAAAATGACAGTTAGAAATTTAATATTTAATAATTTCCGACCACTGAAGTTTCCGACCGATTCGGTCGGAAATTTTCGACCACTAGCGGTCGGTATACGTTTGCGACCATTATTTTTCCGTCCAATTAAAATCGGTCGGAATTTGGTCGGAAATTATCGATTTTCGACCGATTTCGGTCGGAAATTGCGGAGAAATCAACTGATTTTCTAGTAGTGAATTCGTAGATGTGACACCATGATGCTTGAAGGTGTTGAGATGGGGTAGACTTAAATTTACAAGACGGTAAGTTGTCACAAAGAGACCTACATTTTTTTGGAATCTATAATGTCTTACCGAAGAACACAACAAGATGGAAACAAAGTATCTATATCGGCTAGTTGGTTGGTTTAGCTATTTTTGTGGTACACTTACATTAGGTTTTGGTGTTTGATAGGTCTTTCTAGTTTTGTTAGAGATTGTATGCCGTCTTGGAATAAGTTTGAGATTTAGATTATTCTAATTTTAGACAACTATTAATTACCCTAAAAGACAAGTTGTTGAATATTGGATCAGAACAAGCCCAAATGGAGTAAAGTGGATATAGAGGATTAATATAGCATTATAGCCAACGCAAACTAGTTTTGTGATTGAGCTGTAGTTGTTGTCACTTAAATATGGTCTGTAATCTGTATTTAAGGGTTTGTTATGCGTTTGTCTTGATTTTTTTATCTAGGGAAGGAAAGTGCAACATATTTATCATAATTGAGTTTTTCTTTTCTTAGAAGAAAATTATAAATCTCTCATATTTGGCTAGTCCCTTTACTTGGAAGAAAATGTTTGAACGTCTATAAATTGAGGGTCCTTCTTTAATTTCTCATTTAGTAGCATTCACAATGTAGCCATATGGGGTCTAGCAGTCTTGTTTAGGGAGAGAACTTTTCAGGACAAGTGTTAGTGTGCCACTTGTATTTGCCTCTTTGTGAGGTTGTTCTTAAAGTACAGGAGGGGAGGGGGGGCGAGGGAGGGGCTTAGTACTTCGATTCAGTCAAATACTAATCTCAACAAACAGTAATGAGTATAATAAAATATGAAAGCAGTAAGGTAAATGACACCAGGAATTTTATACTGGTTCGAAACCCATGTGTTATCTGATGCCAGTCCCTTTGGTTTGCAAGGAGGTTATCTCTTTAGCTCTTTGTAATATGAGTTGAGTACAACTTGTATGATTTTCAACATTCACTAGCAACGTATACAAGGTTGGCTTTCACTCGCTCATCAACAACGAATAAGGGTTGGTTTTAACATGCTCACCAACAACGCAAAAGGTTGGTTTTTACTCGCTCACCAACAACGACTCTTTGGTTTTCACTCGCTCACTTAAGAAACGAATAATGACACAACCTCTAAGGACACATTGCCTCCCCAATATTTTTCTGTCGCTCTTCATGTAACGACACGAATGGTCGTTTTTCTTTCTAGATCCTCGTTCCCATAATTAAGACTCCCCGTATGTTCTTTTATTATTTTATGACTTGCGAGGATAGTTAGTTCGGATTTGGAAGGGTTCGGGTTGAAATCAGAACACTTAGTTCCTTAATAGTGACTTAAAATGGTTAAGTTTGACTTGAGTCAATATATTAAGTAAATGACCTTGGAACCGAGATTTGATGGTCCCAATAGGTTCATACGATGATTTTGGACTTAGGTGTATGCTCGGATCGGGTTTTGGATGACCCGAGAGCGTTTCGGCGCATAAAGTTGAAAGTTGGCGCATTGAAGGTTTTCAAGTTCTTTAATTTGGTTTGAAGTAGGTTTTGGTGTTATCGAGAGCCTGGGAATAGTAACGTATGGTGATTTGTGACTTGCACACAAAATTTGGTGTCATTCCGAGTAGTCTAAGTATGATTTGACGCATTCGGAGTAAGTTGGAAGAACTTGAAGTTCATAAGTTGATTTGAATTGGTTTGGAGTGTGATTCTTAATTTTTATGTTGTTTTACGCGCTCTGAGGGTTCGAGCGAGTCCGTTTTATGTTTACGAACTTGTTGGTATGTTTGGGCGAGGCCCCGGGAGCCTCGGGTGCTATACGGACGATGTGCGGAACATGTTTGGGCTTGGAAGAATTGCTGAAGCAGCAGGGTTCTGGTGCAATCCCACCTGCGAGGAATCTTTCGCAGGTGCGAGCTCGCAGAAGCGAGCTAGTGACTGCAGAAGCGGCTTGGCGTGGATTGTCCAGTGGTCGCAAAAGCAGAGCAGGACCGCACCTGCGAACGCGCAGGTGCGAAGAAGTTGATCGTGGAAGCGGAAAGGAGCCAACAGCCTGGGATCGCAGGTGCGGTCCATTCGCTGCAGAAGCGGACTCGCAGAAGCGATCCTATGCCCGCAGAAGCGAGAGTGGCAGACCTTGGCATGGTCCGCACCTGCGATGATTTTTTTGGAGAAGCGAATCCCCTGGTGCGGCAATGTGATCGCAGATGCGAAACCATTGAAGGCAGTTAGGGTCATTTAATGTCGGGACATAGGCTATTTTGACCTCCTTTTTTACACACCTACCCCGAAGGATAATGTATAAGAGAGTTTTTCCATTTAAAGTGACATTATTCGAAATGGGATTATTTATTTATTTAGAGTCGCCACTTGGGATAGGATTGGCTTTTGGTGTCCCAAGTCACCGGTTTAACTTGAATCCCAAATCGAGGAAAATTTTCAACTTCCCAATTGGAGTCTGCGAACCAGAAATTCTGAATAAGGAATTCTGTTGACCCGAGGGAAGGTGTTAGGCACCCTCGGATCCCGTGGTTCTAGCACGGTCGCTTAAACTATTATATTTGGCTAAAATCTAATTTTTATACATGTTCCAACCAATAGTGCAATTTTAAGATTATTTACCACTTTTAGTTAAAAAAAAATTTAAGAAAGTGAACGTCGTTT